GTTTTCCGTCGCATTGCGCTAAGACCGTCCGCCGGGGCACAAAACCCTTTATACCGGTAAATGCTTTTCTTGATCGTTCTTTGATTGTCCAAGTTTCGTTGCTTACAAAAGATTGGAAGTTCGCGAACTCGGAAAATACTGCAATATTAACTCCGTTGTCGTACTTTAAATTACGATAATCATGATCTTTATTTCGCACTGATTTCATCATCCAAGTAAATAGTTTTTTTTTTCTCTTGAGATGCAATGTAGCTTTTTGAATGTCGTAAAAATCTTTTTGTGATTTTATCAATATCTTTTTATTCAAAAAAATTTACATTATTGCAAAGATATACAAAGATTTTTTTATAAATCGTAAAATTTTAGTCTGCAAATAATGAGTTTAAGAAATCGATAAAGATTTTGCGCTTGAGAAAAGTAAAAGATGATTTTGAAAGTTGATGGCGAAATTTTTTTTCTAGGTTGACGCATTTCTATCTATTTTTTCGTGAATCTTTTTGTTGATCCTTTAAGGCAGACCGGGTGTAGGGAAAGGGGCAAACAAATGGCTCGGAGTTTTAGGGTGAACGACTATAAATCCTTGCCGTGAGAACGACACGTCTCTATTATTCATGTCGGACTAAAAGCTTCTCGAACTGTACAGAATTTGCGAACGTTTTCTCGCTTGATGACATTATCCGTCTTCCGCGGTTTGCATAATTTATCGGGTTTATCTCGCGTAACTTCTCGCACGTTCCTTTCTGCAGCGATTTGTATACATCTAATCTAATTTGCACTAATTGTATAAGTTTATTTTACATACAAAAAGTACACACTATATTTATGATGTATTTATGATGTAAAAAGCAATGGCCTATTCTGATATTAAAATTTCGATTTACATTAATTTGATTTATAAAAGTGATTTGTTTGAATAAATTTTGCCTTATGTAATCGAATAAAACGAATATGGTGGAAAAAATGATTTACGTTTGCATATTTTTAAATGTATGTTTAATATTTTTAATAATTATGAAAATAATTATGGAAATGTTTTGTCAACCAGTCGGAAAATAATTTATGACTTTATTTGATGAGAATCGTGAACGCGAAGATGACATAGAATTTTTAAAGTCTCCTCTTGCACTCTGCTTGATTGCTATAATAAAATATGAATGTTGTTACCGCGCAGCAATTATACTAACAACCGTGCTACCTACCTTGCCATTTACATAATATTTCATCACGCCGTCGCATTTGCATTTTCGCTTGATAAATCTTTTATTACTAACAAGCTGCAATTATATTAAAACAAATGAAACTGCGAGCGAAATATTATATTTTCGGTAACGCAGACTCCTGCGTACAGCACTCTCGGTTGAATCTGTCCGGCGAATCCGTCGTTATGGCAAACTCGTCAGATATTCGCTCGAGGCAACGAGCAGCGCTCTATCTAAAGTTGCAGGAATAAATGTTCGCATCAATTGGCGTTCGAGTGTACTTCGCACATCTCCGTCGTGGACGAAATACGCGACCGGAATATCAAGCAGTTCGTTTGAATGCCGATTTCAATCGACGGAGACAGAGAGAAGCGCAGCTAACGAGAATAAATCGAGAAACTCCGTGATGAGACGCCGAGAACGGAGTTTTAAAAAATTCGATTTGCCAGTTCTACGGTCTACAGCGTGAAATTTGCCTAACTTATTAGGACAAAACATTTTATGGTCACACGCAAATCCAGTTGCAGTGTGTTAAAAGAACGTAAATATAGTCAAATAAATACAAATTAATTAATTATATAAGAGCAATTTTTATATTTCGCTAATATTTAATTGAATGTTGCGCAAATTATTTAAAGATCAAAAGTTATATAAAATTTATCAGCAGTACAATTTCTCTTTAAAGTCTGCTTATTTTTTGCTTTTACAGTAAATCTTGGGAACTCCAGAGTCTTTTGTGTTTAATTAAGCACGATGTCTCTCTAAGTATAATAAAAACACAACACACTTTTAAGTTAACGAATACGAAAATACAATGCCACATTGAGAGTGTAATAAGTAGTCGCGCGAATGCTATAAAACTTTATTTAAATTTTTTATAATATTTATGTTATCAAATGCCGTGAATCTTGTCGATTCGGAATATCGCTCGACGAACGAAATTAACAAGGAAATACCTTCGCGCAATCATCGTGCTTTTTACGTATGCGTGAGTACGTTGAAGTCTTGGGAAGAATAATGACCTCGTACGAACGCCGAGCGCCAATATCCGCAAAGTCGAGAGAGGAAATATGCCGACGCAATTCCGATTATTTCACGCTACCGGCGTCGTGCTCGTCAAATCGGAATAATTTCGTTAAATTGGAACGGCGTGCCCAATCGCGAGACGACAAAGAGCAGAGAGGCGTTCTCGATTCGTCTGTGACATGTCGCGCGGAATGCCTTGTTAGAGAAATACTAAAATTAATTTTTCCGACAATTCCAACTAGATTAGATTTTTTATTTACTCAATGAATTCCTGTTTGCGGTTGTTGCGAAAACTTGTTAATTAATAATTTTTCAAGGATAAGAATGTTGAGATAGATAGTAAATAATATAAAGAAATGTATACATACATCTCGTTTATTAAACCGTAATTTAAATAAATAGTTTTTTTTTAGGATATTATATAGTCTTATAACATATTTTAGTAATCAATCTTAATTGCGTTTATTTTTTTATCGATATATAAATATTGAATAATATAGATTTTACGACTGGTGTATATTAAAAATTTTTGGAACACAAGACAGTACATTTTTTAATAAACGGAAAGCTGTTGCGAAATAAAAAACTAATGAAACAGAATTTAACAGAAAGTCGGATGGTAAAAAAATTGTTGAAATTTTTCCATGAGTTATCATCGCTTATAGCGTGAAAGGTGGAGAGATCAGGGGTTATGGACGGTTTATGTCGTACTACGCTTCGTAGCTCGTCCTGCTTTTCACCCTGTTAAATTTCTGCCTGTCATCTCGTTAGGTAGTCTATGCTCGTCTTTTTTGCGCGTGGATTGAAAGATTGGGATGGGGAAAAAAGTTTCAATCTCTCGCGAAACAAGCTTTCGCCCACATCATAAAATGTGCTCGGCAGTGTATTGACGCACTCATCGCGGCCTTATAATCTGCTGCGCATCGCGCGCGCGCGCGATGCGCTGACGGTGCATAATGAATAATTTCTGAAGCAATACTTAACCTAGGAACTGTGTGCCAACATTAGCAATCGTGTGGATAAAAATAAGTAAGAAAATATTTATTTTTTTTTGCACGCTAATTTTTATACATAGAAATTAATTAATGTAGATGTATTCAGAGCGATATTAGAAAGTTTGCGGAAAAAACTATGAAAATTAACTTCTATGCTTTATTTAAATTTGTATTAACATTAATATTTTTCGCTTGTGTTATTCTATTTAACGGCGTAAATTTATATCCTTAAAAGAAAATTGATTGCTATTAAAATAATAGCTTTATATTCTAGTAGCTTCTCTAATATTTCCTAAGTTTCCCAAAGTAGCAGCTGCATCTGACCACGTGCAACGCGCATTCACTAGGCGGCCGTTAGTAGTGCAGGCGCGATAAGGTCGGCCATTTGGCTGACCACTTTCAGATATTACCACTTGCAGGTTCCGCCGAGTTTCCGAGTTAACATGAACGATCATATTTCTGGTTTATGTGTACGGCGGGTGCTTACACGTACTCTTACATTATAAATCATTGTTTACAACCCTTGCGAGATTGGATGGACTTTGGTGATAATTCCATATCTTAGATGTCTTGATTGTAATGCTAAGAACGTTACATCAGAAACGAGTTATGGCGAAAAGAGTTTTACGTTCTTAAATATTTCTGCTTCGTGAAAATTCTGTCAATCTTTATTATCAATCTATAATTATGCTTTATTATTTATTAAAATAATTTAATTACAGAAGATATAAATGGCTGTAATGAGAAGATATCCACGTTATTACATTATTTATTATTACGATGTTGAGAGAGAATTATTAACATGAAACTTCTGGCAGTGATATGCCATTTCATCAGCATAATCAGTCATAACGCCACGCAACATTAGCATTATGCATTATGCATTTATTACTTTTCAAGCGAGGAATTCATGGAATTTCTCTGTTTTTCCTAGATACACACGATATCCTATATACATGCGATACATACGAAATTATATCAACAGCCGTTATTATTCTGTGACTTCAAGTTCGCCTCCTTTCCAAGTCACGGAATAACATCGATTGTTTTTGTTTTAAGGCATTAATTTTGCACTGTTACATATAACAGCAATGTCATGCAAATTAACATCGCAGATATTTCACCGAAAATGTGTAAAATGTTCGACAACTCTTTTCATCACGCTAATTGCACTCTACGCGCGCCTGTTGTTCATCGCAAATGAAGCAATGTTTCATCATTCCGCGAGCGCAGTCATTATTATACCTCGCGTCAACTTTACGTCGTCACGCGTATTATGTCAACGCAGTAACTTCAGCGCCAAGGTATTGCTAGTTAAAGTTTGCAGCTGCATCGCCGAGTTGTTGTTTGCGCCATTTATTACTCTTGACTTGACAGTTCTACGTTTCTCCTTTTTATTGATTTACTTGTCGCGCACCACTTACTTACACACGCCTATCACTCATCTATCATGCAGTAATTATATACTAAAATTTGTCGACTTTTTTATAGTTCTTTCACTGTTGATTTTCCCAAAGAAGATACAAACAAAAGATCCGAAATTAAAAATATAAAATGTGTATAATGTAAACATTTAACATTATACATTAATATTAAGAGATAAATATTTACAAATATTAATTTATATTTAGGAATCAAGTTTCTTCTTCCTTTTTCTTCTTTCTTTTTCTAAATTGTTTATAATTGAAATATACACACGAGCATATAAGATATATAGGTTTAATTTCCTGTATTGACAAAGTGTAATCTCAAATGCGTCTCTTTCGTTTTCCGTCGATAGACGGAGGTGTTCCAGGCTGCGGTAGCGGCGGCAGCAGCAGCAGCTGCAGGAGGTGGCGGCCAGCAACCCGCACCAACACCAGGCGGTGGTACTGAGACCAACCCTGAAGGCGGAGTTGAGGCTGCAGCATTGGCGCCTGTCACCTCAGGTGCGACGACACCTGCGACGGCGACGCCGGGCACCGACCTCAAGGGTCAACCAAAGCGCCTGCATGTCAGCAACATACCCTTCCGCTTCCGAGACCCTGATCTCAGGGCGATGTTTGGAGTAAGTTGTCGATTTTTGTTTGCTTGCTTGTTTGCCTCGTTATTTCCATACTTTCATACTTGCTTCTTGATGGAGATGATGCTCATGTTCCGTTCTTGACGTAGACAAGTTGGATGATATGTTCATATTTCTATTCGCTATTCTTTTTTTTATTTTGTTTTTTATTTCTGTTTTTTACAAAATACAAATACTAGAAAATTATGGAAAATTTATAAAGCTTTTCTTAATAATGTAATGTTATATTAATTTTATAAAAAATAATTAAAAGAAAATTGATTATATATTTAATAATACTAGTACGTGCAATTAGTGATTTTTAAAAATATATTTTATATTTTATCTTTCATTTATAATGTAATATTTAACAACTCATTAAAAGTTAACGATCGAGTTCATACTTATATACGGAATTCTATGTGAACTTTGTAAAATTAACTAATACAATTACATAACATTTATCAAATTATACAATATTTATTAAAATATAAAAATTTTATTAGAAAGTTATTAACATGCAGAAATTTTACATCAAATTTTAACATTAAATTATGTAATAATTTGTGTTGTAGAACTAACATAATATTCAATATTGTATTATATTAATTATATTTGGTATAATATTATTACAGTGTTAATATTATGCTGTAACATTCTTAACTGTAATGTTTTCTCATTTCAGCAATTCGGGCCAATTCTCGATGTGGAAATCATATTTAACGAAAGAGGAAGCAAGGTAAGCTTACGTCGCCCTTAGGCTGCGAGCCACCCCTGTCAACCCACTTCCGATAATACCGTTAATTTTAAGCTAATATTGTGCCGAACGAGATCCTCGCATTCAAGACAAGTGTATATTTTTCCACGCGTTTACCTTTAAATTAATTTCTACATCAAACAGATCTACACATTTACACAGCTTCTTTACTTTTAAATATACAATATATTTCTCGCATTATCTCGCATAATTTGAAATAAATCGACAGATTTTTCGCGTTTTTGTCAACTTTTGCGTCAATTATCTTTAGAATGTTCGCCGTGTGTTCGACGCTATCGTTTGCTCGCTTTCTCGAGCGGCTGTTCGCGGCAACCATGAAAACTGGCGTCGTGAACGTGACTCGACTTTTCTATAGCGTACATGCGGCGCAGTTTCTGCCGTTCATTTATTGGAAAAGTTCTCCGGGAAGTTGCCGGCGTTCTGGATGCGAGGATGTCGCGGGAGCCGTAACGATCTTGTTAAGGGATGCAGCATCACGAACGATAGTCCGCTATGTATATACATATGCATCCTCGATGCGAGGAGGAGGTTGAAGAACTAATATCGCATTCCGGCAAAACAGCGATATTCCTTGATGAGAATACGAAAACGTGCTGCTGCAACCGTTGTACACGCCGTTTCTTTCCAGCGCGATGGCGACATTTTTTTACCGTATTTATATTTATCCCAATACGAAGTTGCAAGCTACGACGAAGTGCCATTGTCAGTTTTTTTATCCTCTCATCGTCGACTTTATTCAACTTTTACGTTAGGCTTTTACAATCCTACGAATTTTTAGGATTAACCGCTAAATATTGCTTTATGCTTAAACAAAAAAAGTTAATTTAATCGCGTTAAAATCGTATTTTATTTAATTTTGTCATTTTTGTCATAAAAGCCGAGTCTTCTCCGACGCTCGCACGTTCGCGGAACACCGAGAAAAATAATTCTTGCGAAAAAACGTCACGTGAGTATCGTAGTCGCGATCGTCGACCGTTTATGCGAATGGCGCCAAGAAAACGGGGGATTTGACAGAAAAAAACGTACGCTCTCTCACACAAGCGAGGTGGAAATGCAAATTGCTTTTAATATGGATGACAACCGGAGGTCGGGATAAGGTCTGCAGTAATACATCGTGCCGACAGTCTGCATCCGGCGAGCCGGGCCGTGCATATTCAGCGTCTTTGCGTCAAGTACATTCAAGTGCACTTCATCAAGTCGCACTAGTAACCTAGTATCACGTCTGCCGACGTCATTGCTGATTAAACGCGCGAGGTCGCGTCTCGGGTCTTAATAACACATCAGTCCCAGTAATGCGTCAGTCACATAATATTCGGATTTGAATATCATCCTCGAACTTTCATCTGTTTGGATAACGTTTCGGCGCTTCAAAATTACTTTCGAATCACAAAGCAACGCTTTGATTTGTCTTTCATCGACATTATGCATCTGGATCAACGCTCTTCGGCGCTTTCGATTTTTATAACTATTTTAAAGACAATTGAGATCTTCTATTGAATATTTTCGAATTGAAGCTGTTAACTTCTTGAAAGAAAGACGTTTTTCGTGTCATATTATTCTGTTATATTCGAAAATTGAGACGTGAAGCCTAAAAAATAATTTCCAACGATTTTTGTAGAGTACGATTTGTTCAATTTATGAATATTAATGATTCATCGAGAAATTCTTCCAAAGTTTGCCCGACGCGAGACTTGGACGTATCCGTCAAAAGTTACTCCACGTAAAAAGGATTACGTGCGAAAAAGCGGCCTGCAAATAATGCTCTCTGAGCGCAGATTTGCACACGATATTTCCGGCTAGTTAAAGTACAAAGTTCAAGAAACTTGGCGCAAGAATATCGCGAAAGACAAGTTTCCCTCGTTCGTTTTGATCTTCCAAGTTCTAAGAATACTTCATGCAACTTTATGCATTATTTTATCGGCTGCAATACTTTCGTCATCGATGTCGCTTTGCGCGACCAAGTTCTTTTCAATGAATGCTCCAAAGTCACGCAAACTGGTATTATACTTTTTAGCAGACGTATTATGCTCTTTTTTTTTCGACGTCGTACCCTGCAATCGGTTTCCTTCAAACGGATTCTTTGATGCCATTGTATTACTATTTTAAGATCCGCGATCGATTTTCCAATTACTGCGCTTGGCAACCAATTAGCGCACGGACAAAAGTTTAACGACGAAATGAAAATGTTAGCAGCGATGTTTCAACATCCAATTTAGCGAACGTGTCTGTTCGAATTTGTGATTTAGTTTACAGTTAATTTGTTCGTGTAAATAATGGAGCGAACATTGATCGACGGCATAAGAACCCGCAATCATACGTATTAGCCGTCGATTAGGCCATTATGACTGAATCCGGTTCGTCTGGGTCGGCGACGGGTTCTAACGAACAGGAAGTCGATGTCGCGGCGCATCCGTACTTGTACGACCAATCCGACGGGACTGATGTGGAACGCGAAATGGGCCGCTTCCAGTTTCCGGAGGGCGGGACGCACACGACGAGGAGGAGAGAGAGAGAGAGAGAGAGAGAGACAGAGAGAAAAAGAGAGAGAGCGCGCGTATTAATTAAACGCTTACGCGCGATTCTTAACCCTCGCGAGTTCCGCGACGCGCATTTTTATTTCCGCCGGCAAATCGCGAGGCTTAATCCGCGACGCGGATCATTCGCGTGAAAGCGCCTCAGTCGGGCGCGCACGAAAGGAAAAATCCCCGCGATAAGGAAACACGGGTCGGGCGCAACCCGATATTTCGTTGCCGTATTACGGCAACAATTTGTTACTTTTATTCCCGGCGCTCACGTGACTCGCTGTAATGGCGAGCGGTTCATGCGCAGCTTTAAATAAGTCCTCCTGTTTTTACCGCTGTTTTACTTTAGCCGTTGTTTCCCGCGATTCAACGCTCGTGCAAGAACAAGATATTTCTGAACGACGCGATTGTTGAGTGGATTAACATGTACACGTCAAATTGTACTTGGCATAGAGGAGAGCTGTAACGCAACGTAATTTAATAGCGGAAGTGACGATACTAAATTAACTGACGTCGCCGCGCGACTACATCGCTGCGCCGAGCGAGACCATTCCGCGAGCGAACAATTTCGCATGCGCAGGTGCGCGCCACGTCAGAAATCCTGCAGGTACCAAGTCGACAATGGCACCATCGTCTTGCCTTTTGCAATGCAAATATTCCCTGGGCGACGCGAACGCCGCCCACACACGTAATAAAGCACATGCGGAATTTACTCCGAACGGTATAAGTGTCGCCGTCGCATTTTAGTGCTTAAGCGATTCCGAGGGCGTGACGGGATCTGATACTTCTCAACGGCACGCTATTAACGGACGAACGAATAATTATTAACCCCCGGGGGGTCCAAAGGGGCGGAAACTCACCGATGAAGTGTCATTGCCGAGTAAGCGAGCCGTATGAATTTAATGAAGTTGACAAGATTGTTTCAAGAGATCTCATTCCTTGCATACTTTAGATTTTTGCCGTGCTAATGAAAGATGTCAATTAAAAATCTAATACGATACTTGACACGGTGATTGCATCACAAAAAATTCGTCAGAGATAACATAATTGTTCAATAAAATAGTTTCTTCTATATTTTCAATTGAATCAATTACACTCTCGCTACATTTGTATACAGATTTCTGATATCTCTGATTTTTTAATTGATAAAATTTGAAGTGAAAAGATCCCGTTACGAGCCTCGGCACGAGTTTTTCAGTCTCGTCACATTGCTTTTGTAGAATGCACGTGAAACGACGATTTCACGCGTCGAATTTGATAGTCGATTTAACGCTGACACTTTTTGCCATCGAATAGACTTTCGAAAAAAAAACAAAAAAAATAGGAGAAACGTTCTCTTGCATGCTGCAAAAGCAACGTGCCATTAGTGATAAAACAAGCGGAGTGAGTGATCGTGCGTGATTCTGTGAGAGAGACCTTTTCTCGAAAGCTTCGTCAATGTAAATGGAATGTGGCATCCCTAATGAAGTGCAGCATTTTGGAAAAAAAAAGATACTTTGAAACCGAAGGTGGGAAAAGCGCGCAAATCGAGAATGTTCTCCACAACAAGAGTCTCTCACTGCATCTAAAATATATATTTATAAATATATATTTGTATATATTTATAGATCTATTTTTTAACCATCGCGATTGATATGGCGATGAAAAAAGTAAGTAGCTACCAAACGATTTTATATTTAATTAAAATACAAAGTATAATTATCCGCTTATAATAGGCGGTTAGTGCTCGGTGCGCGCGCTTTTCCGACACCGCGTATGTGCTAATGACACGTACATACATATACAAATATAACCAATGGTGTTAGTTCTCGTAGTTGTTAGACGAGCTGTTGCATTTTTACTAGCTAGCCTTCCGCATTTTATCATTATTTAGCTCCCATTGGTTATAAGGCCGGTCGTTGCACCTCGCATACCGCGTGTCCGCAGCTGCCTATAACACAGAGTTACGGAAGTTTTAACATTTTATGTGCAAAAAGTTTCAGAAACTAATCGAGTATTCCATAACTGTTATTTATTTAGTCGTCACATTTTTCCGAAGGATTGTTGCTTTACGTAATAATTCTATCGCAAACTTAATAGCTATAATTTTATTTGTCAGCTTATAATTTAAATTATTTGGAAAATGATTATAGAAATTCGTAAAAGTACAGATCGATATTACATTGCGCATCCAAAAATTTATTGCTAAAAGAATGAAGGGCGATTTTAATTAGAAATTTAGTAAAATACACAATTGCAGAAATTTATTTTGCATTTTTCTTATCACGATAGTGAGTAAAGTTCAACGAAGTAAAATACCTCAGGTGGCTGCAGCGGACACGCGGCATACAGGGTGACCCGATCGCCGTCACTTCCGGTCGCGGAGGAGACCCTTGGGTGATGCTGCCCATTTGATTTGATGAAACTTTGTCGCGTCTCTTTCCCAAAGCTGTTTCTAAC